CTGCAATATCAATAAAATTATTAACTATGGTAAATATACAATTTAGAAAAAAAAAATTCTGAACCCATAGTTTTGAAAACGGATGTATGTGTTTGTATTATTAGCAAATAAGGATAATACTATATTCAGACACACCTTAATTTCGTAAAAATCGTTTCAGCGAAATTAAGGCCGTGTGCGAGATCGAGTAAATTGATGGTAAATTGTTGATATTTACCAGAATTTCGAGTAGGGTAAATTAAGTAAAAATCAGGTAAATTAGGTATTACCATTGTGAAAATTTTATAAGATTTTTAATAAATAAATAAATAAATTTGAAAACTTTTAAACAAAAATAATAAATAAGTCCAATAAATAAATAAATAAATATTTACATAAGTGCAGTGCAAAAAATCCCTAATAAATTTCAATTTACTTTACCTCGATTTACTCGAACTCGCACACGGCCTAAGTTGTTTTTTCCGCACAATATTTAATTTTAAGGTTAGAACGAAAGTAAGGAAAACAGCCTTATACTAAGTTCAGACAGCCAAATTTCCTTAATTTCGTAGAAATGAAATTAAGACAATTTTAAAAGTGTTTATACTGCCCCAAATTAATCATATGTTTTTTGTTTACAAATCGAATGTTAAACTTTACATGCTCCAAACACCATTTGTATTTGGGAAATTTTAAAAGTAGATTATTATGACTATAAAAGTGACATTCAATAGTTTTATTAGCTTTAGTGGATTTCAGGTGTGTGAGTTATTATTTTTCACTATATAGTGTACTATATAGTACAAGGATATCGACGTTCTCACATTTTATTGTGAATATCTTAACAAATAAACTTCTGTCTTAAAGCATTTTTATATAATATGGAAAGCCAACAAAATAACAAAAATTTATTATTTAAAGGTATTTTAATAATTTAAAAATCTAGTAAAATAATTATTCCTAAGAAATATTTTAATTTACGTAATTCATTCGAAAATTGAATATCAATTTATCGAAAAGTGTAGCAAAATAAATTGATTTGAAAATTTTAAGAAAATTTTGCATGAAATATAAAAAAATGTGTATCGAACATTAATGCTTGAAAGTGACGGCAAGAAAAGTTTATGAAACTCAGACGCAAATCATTTCTTACAGTGAATTTATCAAAGACAAAAACCTCCAATGAACATAGAAATATAAAGACATTTATTTTGTCTCGTTAATAAAAATCATGTCGAAAACATAGAAATCAAAAACATAGAAATATAAAGGCATGTAATTGCTTGTGTTAAAAAAATCATGAGTTCTGAAAAGGTGTACGCAATGCGAAGACATGTCTGTTCAAACATAAAAACTATCGAACTTATTGTTTCATGTATGATCACTAACATTTTGTTAATGGAGTCACCAATCAAATATCGAACACAACATACAGAAACTTACATAGAATAAACTCTAATATTAGAGTAAATTAATATTAGGCTACCATTGCATGCGTACGAAGGGAGACAAAGGCGAGGAAAAGTTTTTTAGTACCAATCGGACAAACAAGTGTTTTTCTAATCTTTTTTTGTTATGGCACGGTTACTAGGGTAAGTGAGAGTGTTTCTGTACTTTTCTTTCCTGAAATATGTGATTGGCTTTGTGTGCATGTAATTCACAAGTTCTTCCAAATTATGTTAAATTTGATTTTTGATGAAATTTTATAGTGGCCTCAGAAATATATGAGGTTTGCTTATTATGAGATGAGTAAGCACTGGCAGTAGTGTAACCGTGGTTGTTGTTAGTATTAATGCTATTAATATGTTTGGTAGTGACGACAGTGATGAGCCTTATAGCAACATTGGCATCATGAAGCATATTAATAAACACTAAGTTGTTTAATAATTAATAATGCAAATTCATTCTATTGCAATTCGTTCTATGAATGTTCTGTAGGTCTAGCTCTAGGAATCGCATTTCAGATATCAACAGGGAGAGTGACAGCGAGAGTAATAAGAATTAACATTTACTTAGTAAACATATCTAAGCTATCAAGTTTGGTTGTGTGTATTTGGGGGGACGGGTTATTCATTAAGTTGAAGCAACTTATGGGGCGGAAGGGGTATTCACGAGAAAACTTAGAGAAGGAGGTTTCTGTAATCGCGGCTGTAAAACGAGATTACAAGGGAAGAACGGGTAATGTTGTCCAAGTGGAGGGTTAGGAACTGAGTAGCATGGCTGTACATATTACATTATATACATATATTACATTAGGCAACAATATATTCACAATATAACATCTAACAATTCATTAACACAATGACATTAAATAAATAAATTAAATTAATAATACATATACATAATTGATATATTATATCAATATGAAATAAATACAACTTTTCACATACTTCTCATAACATTATATCAACTTTTATAAAACAAAAGAGTTCGTACTAGAAACCATTCATATTTAGGTATGCAGTATTCAAACAAAATCTAACGCACGTGCAACGTATTAATGCGCGGCCAACTATTACGCACACCTAGCGACAGAAATTCGTAGGTGCTAAAGGGGGAGAAAAGAAATCTGATAGAAATGTATGGTGATAAGAGCTGTAAATTTAAGCGCGCACCTAACCGCTTTGACAAGTCATCATCTTGAATTCATATGCATGCAGTTCATATTCGAAGAGAACAGAATAATTACTCTCATATATTTCCCACTACATACATCTCTATTTCTTATATTTTATGCTAGACCACACACACACATTATTTTGTTCACTTATTTGTTTTGCTTTTGTCTCACACTTAATGACAAAAATTTGTAAATGCAATTGCTAAAGGGGAAAGACGAAATATAATAGAAATGTTCTACGATTTGAACTACAAACTTATGAGCACGACTAACAACTATAGAACCTAAGAGAAGAAAATTGATTGAGTTTTAAACTTTAATCTTTAAAATTATATATAATACGTAATAAATTATATTAATTCTGGATGTAAAGATATTTTAATGACCTCTGCACTATAGAGCATTCATCACTGCTATGGTATAAACTGACTACAGCAGTTCACCGGATGTCTTTATTTCTGAATATTTCCTCTTCTGGTGGGGTGATTCCCACAAGTGATATCTAAGGATTCACTTATAATTCTATACACAAAATTATATTTAATGATACTGATAGTTTTACAAGGACGACTTTATCAAAATAAAATAATTTTAATAACAAGCAATATTTGAATTCCTTTAAAGATTGACTCCATGTAACTTTGAAATATTTACGAAGTATTGATCAGATCAAATAAACTTAAACAAGACTCATGGTGTATCTAATACAGTTTTACTTATATCTTGCGGCAGCATAAGTACCATATGTTGAGATCTCTCCGATAATTGATCAAGAACGGAGTCGAATATCGGTTCCGAATATTGTTATGACGCTGCTTTGCAATAGTTTCTGTAGTCACGCCAGTCCCATAATAAGTCTGTTTTTACTTTACTTAAGGAATTCATGGGGAAAGTAATCGAACGTTTCAGCATATATTTCACAAAAGTGATAGATAATGGTGAAATTATCTATTATCTGAAATGATCTATTATTGCTCATTGTATAGAGATGGTACTTCAATATACAGTGCTCTATAAGAAACGCAGTGAGAATTTTAATATCCACTTTGCTTAGAGTTAGAAGTCTATTGGAGATGACCTTAAATAGGCTGATGTATCTCTTGACCTGTATTTAGCTTTCACGGTTAATTCAGCATTTTTTTTTGAGTGGAAAGTTTTTCTAGAGCCTACGGTTACCTATCAGAGTATAGAATGGCTTAGGTCTGATTAATTGACGTTGTGCTCCTCGTTTAGCTAGACAGTCAGCCTATTTGTTGCCTTCATGTTTAACGTGGTTACTTTGTCCCATTTCATTAAGTAGAATTAAGCAGTTGTTCAACATACCTGAATTGATTCTCACAGAATTTGAGAATAGTAATAACGTTTGACTTTCAGAGATTATGCTGACTGTCTCTCTATTTGTGCCTGTCTTTTGCAGTCCAAACAAATTATTTACTCTAAACTATAAACTAATTAAAAACAAATTCGATTATTTTCTAAGACCACTGATGATGAGTACGTGGCCAAGACTCGAAACAGCGTTGTGTGGTCAGCTAAATTTCAATAAATTAAGTAAATTTTTGTTCTTGTCTTTGCTGTTCGAATCTGTCTAACCTGTAAATAGTTTCTTTTCGTCACAAAGACGCGTGATTCTCGGCAAGAAAAAATTGACATTAAAAACTAAAAATTGTTTTATATATATAATTTTGAAATGTTGGTTATTTTTTTGATTTAGTAAGGTTGAAATTGTCAAGTGAAATTGAGAAAAAAAGATTTTACTATTACACGCACAAAATTCCATTTATTTTTAATAAATTAACTTAAAGGTAAATTTATGCGATCCAATTATACACAAAAATTATCACAAAAATTGCTTTAATATCTTTTCTGCAGTATGGACACTATTTATATAAGAATATATAATTCATCCTCAACACTTCAAGCACATCGTCTAGCAAGAGTCAAAAACAGTGTTAAAAGAAACTCTCCAGGTTTTCTTATAGTCGTAGTTGGCGACCTGGGGTATTAGAAACCTGATTTATTAGAAAATTGAAATGCCACTATGTACCAACATTTGAAAATTCGGGAAAATTATACTTAGATTAATTATTTTATTGTGCTTTTAATTAGAATAGACTAACTGCTTTAAGTTTTTTTCTGACAATGGTACTAATAAAGATTTGCGTATAATTTTACATTATCTGCATACCGTGGTCTAAACAGTTGAAAATCTTTTTACGATTCTTGACCATATTTCTTAACAAACCAAACGGATGGTTGTTGTTAGGTTTTAATTGTAAAAACCCTCATTATGCAATTTTTATTGCATTATCACTCTAAACATCCATATTTATCGTTGATGTCTTATATTTCTTAGCAATTTTCGAAAACTCAAAATCTTGAACTGAGTACAGTATTTACAAATTTGTTGAGCATTTATTAATAATAATAAAATGTAATTAGGTAAACATTTTTTGAATAAAAATATATAATCTTGTGCGGTGTCTTTAATTATGAGTAGCAATGGCAACTGTGGCGACGACACATACCCATCCAATGATTGAGCTTTTTACAGTAGTCCTGACAACGCGGGTAATGGGGATGGTAACGGGATAAGACACTACAAATCTCACGGTCCATGGCAATGGCGCGGGACTTTATAGACGCGATGTTTAATTCCTTACTTATAGATTCCGTGTTATCATTATCATTATCCTCATCCAATTCGATCCCATTGGAGTCATCTTCATGCTCAATAATGCTATTAAGTGGAACACTTTCGGAGAAGATTACATAAAACGTAATTGAAAACAGGATAGACAATATCCACAATATTTTCATGTTAGTTTCTAGCTCCACTATATTTCCACTATCTCTTTTCCAAAGGCAAAGCAAATTGTCACTGATTTAAAATTTCATTTTATAAAAATTTTTATTAATTTCTCTCTTCGTATATTGAGATGTTGTTATCAGTTCAATGATGAATTCAATTTAGTTTTGTATGGATTCAAATATGTGATGCCTCGCTCTTCGCTTGCTATCCCACAAAATCTTTGGCAATCGCAATTGTCGGTTTATTACCAATAACAAATTTAATCATAAAAAATAATCGCGTATTCTAAAAAGTGTGAAATTTGAGTTCAAATGATTTGTGTATTTATAGTTGTAAATAATTTTTCTAGCATGTCGTTCCCTTTTAATATGATCCGAGATACAGGGTATTATGTGCTCGCATTTCACTGTCTAATATGTCGCGTCTAATATACTATGAATCGTAGATATAAAAGATAATTACATTTACAGCTTTTGTATCTAATTGCGACTTGATTGCGACTTGACTGCGACTTGACTGCGACTTGACTGCGACTTGACTGCGATAAGCTTCAAATGATACACAAATATGGGGTGTTGTACTTTACTATTTGTTGTTTTTCATTTCTTACAGTTATTTTTTTAACTGTTTTTTATTTGTATTTGCACCAAATACAAATCCAGTATTTAGTTATTTTAAATATTTATTTATTTAAATATTCCATACTGAAAAATAAGTCGAAAACGTCGGAGCGTCGGTGATATTCAAGTGAAAGATATTAAATTTATAATTTTTGAACTTTTTATATTTTGTCCTCACAAGCCCTAGAAAATTTTAAATATTAGTGATTAATATTAAGGACTTTAAGGCTGAGTCTGCATCAGACTCCACGTAGATCGTTTATTTTTCCGCTGCATTATCCTAGATTTCTTGTTTTAAGATATTCCCTTTCCTAGTGATTTCGTTCCAGAATAACCTTCCAGAAGGTTATTGTGCGTTTTTGTAAGCAAATTATTTTCTTTAAGAATATCGTGAAACTTTTAAAATAAGTTTCCAAACTTTCAAAGAAGGCATTTTCAAGAACTTAGCTATGCTCCTAGGCGGGGCATCTACACAATACTTACTTACTTACTTCTGTCCTACTCTCTTAGTGAAGCACTATGCTCCATTACACAATATCTACACAAAAGGTTAGAGTTAATAAGTTTTTCTTCTTTACAAAGATACTTGGCTTGAATTTCAAGACGGAGACTGCTAGCTGTATGCATTGACAAGTTACTAGGGATGTAACATTACTGATTACGGGACTATTGAAGTTATGTTAAGGCCGAGTCTGCATTGAAGTTATTATAAGTTTCTAGATAAGTATACGGATGGCTAATCTTGTGATAGCAGGAGTGATCTTATTTGTGCTTTTTTAGTAAGTTAACACCTGGCTTTAAGCACATAGCTTTTATAATTATCTGATGCACCTGTGGAAGTAAGCTTATTTGCTATACAGTGGAGATGGTAATCACTTGGATGGATGGATTGTTTCATTTAACGATATCATTTTAATGCCACGACTGTCGACAAAAATTGAAAAATTTATAGTCAAAAATAGGAAATGAAGACATAAAATAATATTTGAATTGAAGCTACAATTCTGAAGAGTGGTTCCTTATTGACTCTTCATTGGGTAATATAAATGACTCGGGGAACATATTTCTTTCACGCAATTGCTTAACTTTTAATTGCTTAATGGTATAAAGAAAAGTTGAAATTAAGTTGACCTGGTAATAAATGTGAAATCACGCAAGGCGCTTTTAATTAACTATTTCGCATCTGTACTGTAAAAGCTTTTCTCATAAAAATAGGGACTTTAATATCCGACTTGAAGAATTGCAATCATTTGTTGTAACCTTCTTCAAGACAATTTGGTAGAAAGATATATTCAACGAAATTAAAAGGCGGGCAGATTTTTGATTCTGCAGTTGAAAACATATTTATTCACGGGAACCGCTTTAATAACTAACTATAATTTAACCGTTTTCTTGAGGCCATTAAGCAAATTTCGTATGTTATCGACCTCTTAAGTAATGTATGGTATACATATTGCTAGTGACTTTTTCGAATTTGGATTCTGTTGTTGCAGATTTTACTTTTAATTGGTAAATAATTTTTTTGGTAGATTGGTTGGTTGGTCATCTGGTCGTTTGATTTTATTATGGACATTATGAGCGTTTGTTTCTTGTTTGGAGCTTGAAATTCGCAGTCTTGCTAATGTAGTAATTGTGTTTTTCGTGAAGCTTGGTGTTGTTGTTGCTATTATTTTTAATAGTGGAGTTAGAGATGATTGTATATTTTGTTCATTTGAGTTCTGGTCTTCTACGTTGTTTGCTCTTTTTCATTGATTATAACTTCGATAAAATGTGCTGGAGAGCAAAATCTTGATCTCGGGAAGAAATGGCATGAGTTATCAGGTTCTTGGTATAGTTAGAGATTACAATTTTGTGAGCGTTGTTTTTACTTACTCTATTTTTCGGGAGTTTATTTTCTGCTTGCGTAGTTTACAATTTTGAGATACTTTACTAATGTTTGATTTCTATATGTTTGTCTATTTCAGTTTTTTTAAGATATAGCATTCAGTTTTAATATTAAATAGCGCCCCTTCGCTTTACCTGTGAATAATTATACAATCAAATATAATATTTCAATCTTAAAACCAATCTTACGCGGTAATTTATGTTATTAATAAATATTTTACAAAATATTTACACATTGAAATATTGTTCATTATTGAACTAAAGGCATGGCCCAAATGTCGTCTGCCAACAAACTAATTAACTAATAAAGTACTATTTTAAGGCAAATCAAAGTATATTTTAAAGTATATTAAAGTAGTATTGTAGTTTTTTTCTTGTCCTTTTTCTATTTTATTTAAATCTAAAAACTTGGATTTATTATTCTTTGCCTGTAACTAATTGCATATTTTACAAAGCCAAAGAGTGCGGTCCAGTTTTTCCCGTTAAATGCCTCTAATTTTTCCTCCTCTGTAAGAGTGTGTGTTCTCAGGCTGGTCTAGATTACACAATGAGCAATGTGTTGAATTAACTTGCACATATGGTCTATAACTTACCTTAAGGTGTTCGCCACGAGTTATAAAAATCTGGTGATAGTTCCAATAGTATAATCATTATTAAAATAATTCCGGTCGCGTAATTCATATTCCAACCTTCCGTAAGCATGTCTATAATCACTTACCTTTGCCGTCAATGTAAATTTAGCTCTTTCATTCGCTATAATTTTTATCTCTATAATTTGTTGCCACGAACGCCATACTTCTCTATTTTCGAGCAGCAATTCTTCTTCTTGTGTATTAGCCACTGATTGCCATTTTTCGAAAAAACCTCTCTTCCTATTTTAGAGAGTTTATTGTCATTGAGATTCAAGATGTGATTTATATATTTAAAATATATTTTAGCTTCTCTATATATAAAGTTGATAATCTTGTTTCTAAATGTAGCATATATTTGAGCGTGTTTTGCGATAACTCAAATATTCTTTTTATGAATTACCTTTGAAGCATTTCTACTTCGTTAAATTCATCTACATATTACTCATACTTGTGCTGCAGAGAAGAGGATTGATCTTACAGCCGATTGAAATGTGAAACGTTACCGAGGGCGTAACCTCGTTTTTTCTTAAAATTACTCTCCATGACGGGTTTATTGCTTTTCTGTGTTCACTTAAGTTTTTACTGAGATGTTCATTGAATTTGCCATTATAAGAGATCCAATCTCCTAAATATTAGTATTCCACCATTAAAATTTCAAATTTCATTTTTTATCAGCCTCCTGCAATCATAATTTTAGATTAAATGTTTAATGCGTAAATATATAATAAATTGTCCTTTCCCTTTCGATTTATTTATTGAATTTTAAAAGAAAAAACATATATTTTATAATATAAATACAGTGTAATTAATTCATTTGTCGTTTTTCTCAATTTCAAGAATTTTTTTTCTTCTTACTAATGTACAGTACGTTCCATCAAAATAGAGCATAATGCGAAACAACGCTAAATAAGGCTATTTTAACATGTAAATAATGGGGTTGGGGGAAGATTGAGAGAAAATTGCTTATGCATTAAATTTAATAATTATTATGTTTTTGTAATACATAATAATAAAACCAAATATTTATTTCTTATAAAAACAAAAACAATGTAAACGAATATTATATAAAAACAAATAAAATTCTAAGTCAGTCAGATCATTCACTCTATTCTGTGTGTCTAATTTTCTGCCTTTTTGTCAAGAAGGCATCTAATGTAGTTTGCGTTTTCCTTTTGTGTTCTGTAAGAATATGTTGATAAATGGATAAAGCATCTATAACACCCCGTCTTGAATTTAAACTCCTGTCAAAATTTTAGATCATTTTGAACAAATTGGTTCATAATTTAAGTTGTAGTGGTCAAACTCCTTTTTACAAGCGCTCCTTTTTTTCGCTCTTCCATACTCGTTTAAAAGATCTTTCTGTTATCTCATTCATTCCATTCCAGCACTCATGATATTGGTCTTCTTCATAATATTGGCTCTTATTGATTGCTTCTCCTCTCCATCTGTTTTTTTAAACATCTGCTTAAGTGTTCGGGTTGAAATAAAAGAGCGCTAAACCGAAACAGCGTTAAACGAAAAGGCGTTAAGCGGGGTCTTACTATAATTGATTTTTTCAGCTTCATTTAATAATAATTTATATTTAGTAAAAATAGGAGACATGTTAATAAACAACTGTTTTGAAACATTTAAAATTATAACATATATAAATATAAGATAAGCATATTCCAGTAAAGAGTCGACCAACGGGTAGATGATTTGCCATAGCACCACAAACGAATATATAAATACCGTTGAAAGATTGTGGTTTACCAAAGCTTCTCATCATAATGTATTTTATCAAAGAACAAATTGTTTCTTTCCTAATGCTTCTCATCATAATGTATTTTATCAAAGAACAAATTGTCTCTTTTCTTAATAAAAAGTGATTGATTGCATCTGCAACGAAGAAGTTGAGTAATGCAAAAAACGGCAATGGAAAATTTTTAATCAAAATCCAAAACCAATTGCAGGTGAAAAATCTTCTGACCAAAAAGCAAAACCACAAAACTCAAAAAGACGGGATAAATTATTATTACTTTTTTAATATTCAAATTATTAGTCGATATTTATATCGACTCTGCTGATATTAACGTAAGACCATATATTTCACTACCTCTGCAGGGCAAAAAGAGCCTTAACTATCGACATACCTTTTCTAGATTTTGTGTAAGAGACAAAGTATATTCTAATTTTCTAAGAGAACAAGATATACAAGTAATTATAACGACTTACAAATTCGATAAAAGAGATACACTTATATTCCAAAAAAACCATTCAATTCCAAACAGCTCCTATACAAACGTGCATCTAGAGAAAGCATATCACCTTATCTCATGTCCGATGAACCTACAGATGACAACCCAAATTAATCAATGTCTCATCAAAAATTAATATACACATATACCGGATCAAGCAAACAAAATGATGTCCGTAAAATTAAACTCACAAAATCAAACTAACTACGATGATTTGACAATTGCAGACTCATATTCCGCCTCGTCAGATCTCAGAAGATGACTTTCTTTTAATATTCTTAATAGATTAACAACTAAGACAATACAACGAGAGATTAAGACAATCATCAATCGAAAGATCCAAAAATAGATAGCTCTTTCATTTCAATTTTTAAAAAAACTACTTAATTATTCTCTATTAAAGTTAAGTTCTTCATAATACTAAGGTTTGTTTAGGCTCATATCAATAATGCATAAAACGACATATGACAATAATTATAAATAACTTAGAAAATGCATTGGTTCACTTCAGATCCTTTTTTTTTTTTGTGCAGTAGGTGGAAAGCATCAACAGCCACAGTGTGAGATTTGAACCAGCTAAAACAACGTCTAAGGAATAAATATGGAAGATTTCAGCCACTTTTAGTGAATGCAACGCCATTCCAATAATCAGATCTTCAGATCTTTGGTATCGATAGCTGGAAGTTTCAATACCTAGCACAAATCATGAAGTTCCCTAAATAATAACTTACGTGGCAATATCTTGCTTAAGTATAGAAGTCAATCTAACTTTGCTTTTCTCAATGTCGGTACGCACACACATTACTACATACGCTGATATTATTTGACAATATTCATAATAGTGATCTCTATCTTACGACAATGAACTTAATCTCGGATCAACAGAAGAATAAACATAATTTGGGATCGTTCTTTAAACTCAATGGCAGCCCCACCCATTCAAACGAAAACACTGCCTCACATGCTGGAACATCTAACTTGAATTTCTAAAAAACACAAAACCCTGCACGACAAGAATTAACGGCAAATATTTCTCAAGAAAATGACTAAATTACAAAAAAAGAGCAACTTTTTAATGAGAGAAATTGAACTGTCGAAACGAAAGTTCTTTACTAAGCTTATAGTGCTATCAATACATTTTCTACTTCCATCGTTTATATAAAAAAGCAGCGATATCACAGAACTAATAAGGGCCCTAAACACATTGGGAGGATTGAGAGACTGAATCTTTAACAATTTTAAACTTCAAACATTTGAGACCAGTACTATAGTTTTTTGAAAATTGGGGAAAACCAACCTTCGAATGAAGATCATCCTGCACTACGACAATGCGAGCTCCCATTCAGCAGCTCAGAGAAAAATGGGTCATCCGCCTTACAGTTTTGGCTTGGTACCTAATGACTTTTCTTGCTCCCAAACATTGGCTGTTGCGACATTTAAAATCCTGATATTGGAGATACTAACTTCAGAGAAGCAAAACTGTTTCGAAAAATGTTTCATCCGCATGCAAATACATGTTGATCATCATGGAATGCATCGAAGAACAATAAAATAATTTTCATTGATTAATCACTGTGCTTTCATTGTTAGACGCAAAACTTAAATGGCAACCCTTATATATAGTTTATGAGATTATAATTTTCAGTAGTAATTCTAATATTTGGTAAATCAAAAAATAAATATTTTAAGGGAAGCGTTCATTGCTCGTAACTGAAACTTCTGAATTAGGTTTGAATTAAAAATGTTTCATTTCTTATATTTACATATCTTACTTCTCATGCTCTTCCACTTAATTTTCTTATACATTCCTTTCTACCTTCTTCTTTCATATGTATCCTCATTGAAGGATTTTTTGTTTTTTCCTTCTGCGATGAAGAAATCATGTACCACATTTATTTCAAATTAGTTTCGAAGGTTCTATGTATATTTCTACACTATTTTTTGTAATTTCCTTATGATCTTGGTCTAA